CATTTCGTCTACTTTGTCCTTGTAAGTAGCAGGCTGCCACATCGCCTGCTTTCCTTTCCCCTCTTCCCATCTCCCATCCTACAAAAGTGGCGTCTCACAAAATGCCAATTTTAGTAAACCAGAATCTGATTTCTACTAACTTTTGGCCTTTTTCCTTCATGAAAAAGAGGCCATTAGTTGAGCTCTATGTTTGGTTTTGATTTGGGAATGTCTATCAGATTTTGATTTTGACACATGACCTCTGCTGTGTGGGCGACATTAAAGCCTAATCGAGACTTCTGTGTTGGTGTGCTCAAGAGAAAAAAAAAGATCAAATTTTGCGGAGTAGAAACTGTATTTACTTATCATCGTACTTCGCCTGGAAGGCAACTCCGACATAGAATGGGTAGTCACTACGGCTTGTGACGATTAGGCGCCTCACGAGCTGTGTTTGCGGAAATGACTGCCGAGGCCGTGGACTTGGACCACTCTCTAGACGTCTTACTGTTGGGCGATTAAACATCACCGCCATTATCATACTGCGGATGATTTAAGTCTTTTTTGTAAATACAAGTAGGTATCATGGATTCAGGTTTCATGCCTTTAATTTCCACCAGAAGCTTCATGCTACCGGTCCACGATATGCAATGGTTATTGTTGAAGGTAGTAGGACCACCAGTATGCGAAACCTTAGTTGAAAATGGCTGTGTTGGTGGCAAAATTATTTACATTTTAAAATACTGAAGTAAGGTGATTATCAGCCCCACAAAGAAGCATATAATCCTCTTGTGTTCGGATGGAATAATTTTCTTTTCGCTTCCCTTCTCCATGCACAGGAGTTCGACTTAGTGCGATCTGTAGAATTGGAGCCTCTTCAACCCGTCATCGATGTGTTGACAGCACCCAAAACTGATCGTCCTACGGGTAGCAACAATGCCAACAGCGGCGCTTCCCACCATCAATCGGGAGGCAAAAACACCAATGGCGTGGTGCAGGCGGAGCCTATGCCTCCCTCCCCCCCGGTCCTGCCGCCGCCTACTGCTTCCTCTACACGGATGTGACTTGTCACCCCTTCCTTTACCACCGTCCTATCATCCAGACCGACCTTCGTTCGTGCCTTTATTAATTGTTTGACTTCATGGTAGATGAGTTGTGAGCGTGTATGTGCCTTGTTATTTCCTGCTCCATTTCTTGCTATCTTTGCGCATACAGACGCATGTCTCCTTTTTTCGGCCTCGCAGCTTGGGTGCTTTCAAGCATGTCTACTTTGTTGTCAAGTACAGGATCGTAGTGACTACAGCTTACTGTAAGAAATCGACATTGAGGCGGCGGTTTCCATGTGTCAGATTTGAGCTCCAAAGGGCTGTTGGGCTCATCTGTCAGCGGTTATGAGACACCAGTTTGATGCTGAAGGCTGTCATCGCTGACGTTACTTTTGTGAACCAGTTGCGGGATTCTTTCCTTCTCTTGGTTGTGGTGGTTACGGCTGATTGGATATGGAAAGCGATCGGCACCTGCCATATTGGGACGGTGATTTGTAAACGCTACAACTTTAGCAGGGACGATTTGATGCAGAAGAACCGCAAATGATCTTACTGTTGCTATAGGGGATTAACTCAATAGAAAGGAAATGATTGTTCGAGATTCATGGAAATGGTGAAATCTAAGCGCGTGGAACTTGCTTTAGGCGCAACAAATTGCATGTGGCTATTCTAGAATTTCGT